GAAAAACATGCAGCCAAGAATACTATATCCAGCTAGGCTATCATTGAAAATAGAAGGAGAGATTAAAAGCTTCCAGGACAAACAAAAACTGAAAGAATTTGCAAACACCAAACCAGCTCTACAGGAAATATTGAAAGGGGTCCTCTAAGCAAAGAGAGACGCTAAAAGTAGTAGATCAGAAAGGAACAGAGACAACATACAGTAACAGTCACCTTACAGGCAATACAATGGCACTAAACTCGTATCTCTCAATAGTTACCCTGAATGTAAATGGCCTAACTGCCCCAATCAAAAGACACAGGGTATCAGAATGGATAAAAAAACAAAACCCATCAATCTGCTGCCTACAAGAAACTCATTTTAGACCCGAAGACACCTCCAGATTTAAGTTGAGGGGGTGGAAAACAATTTACCATGCTAATGGACATCAGAAGAAAGCTGGGGTGGCAATCCTTATATCAGATCAATTAGATTTTAAGCCAAAGACTATAATAAGAGATGAGGAAGGACACCATATCATACTCAAAGGGTCTGTCCAACAAGAAGATCTAACAATTTTAAATATCTATGCCCCTAACGTGGGAGCAGCCAACTATATAAACCAATTAATAACAAAATCAAAGAAACACATTGACAATAATATAATAACAGTAGGGGACTTTAACACTCCCCTCACTGAAATGGACAGATCATCCAAGCCAAAGATTAACAAGGAAATAAAGGCCTTAAATGACACAGTGAACCAGATGGACATCACAGATATATTCAGAACATTCTATCCCAAAGCAGCAGAATACACAATCTTCTCTAGTGCACATGGAACATTCTCCAGAATAGATCACATTCTGGGTGATAAATCAGGTCTCAACCGGTATCAAAAGACTGGGATCATTCCCTGCATATTTTCAGACCACAATGCTCTGAAGCTAGAACTCAATCACAAGAGGAAATCTGGAAAGAACCCAAATACATGGAGACTAATGTATCATCCTTCTAAAGAATGATGACATTCATTCTAAAGAATGAATGAGTCAACCAGGAAATTAAAGAAGAATTGAAAAAAACTCATGGAAACAAATGATAATGAAAACGCAACAGTTCAAAATCTGTGGGACACAGCAAAGGCAGTCCTGAGAGGAAAATATATAGCAATACAAGCCTTTCTCAAGAAACAAGAAAGGTCTCAAATACACAACCTAACCCTACACCTAAAAGAGCTGGAGAAAGAACAACAAAGAAAGCCTAAACCCGGCAGAAGAGAAATAATAAAGATCAGAGCAGAAATCAATGAAACAGAAAAAAGCAAACAAACAAACAAACAAAAAACCAATAGAACAAATCAATGAAACCAGGAGCTGGTTCTTTGAAAGAATTATGAGATTGATAAACCCCTGGCCAGACTTATCAAAAAGAAAGAGAAAGGACCCAAATAAATAAAATCATGAATGAAAGAGGAGAGAACACAACCAACACCAAAGAAATACAAACAATTATAAGAACATACTATGAGCAACTCTATGCCAACAAATTTGACATTCTGGAAGAAATGGATGCATTCCTAGAGTCATATAAACTACCACAACTGAATCGGAAGAAATAGAAAACCTGAATAGACCCATAACCAGTAAGGAGATTGAAACAGTCATCAAAAATCTCCAAACAAACAAAAGCCCAGGGCAAGATGACTTCCAGGGGAATTCTACCAAACATTTAAAGAAGAACAATTCCTATTCTTCTGAAACTGTTCCAAAAAATAGAAATGGAAGGAAAACTTCCAAACTCATTTTATGAGGCCAGCATCACCTTGATCCCAAAACCAGACAAGGATCCCATCAAGAGAATTATTCCCATAAAGAGAATTACAGACCAATATCCTTGATGAACACAGATGTGAAAATTCTCACCAAAATACTGGCCAATAGGATCCAGCAGTACATTAAAAGGATTATTCACCACGACCAAGTGGGATTTATTCCAGGGCTGCAAGTTTGGTTCAACATCTGCAAATCAATCAATGTGATACAACATATTAATAAAAGAAAGAACAAGAACCATATGATACTCTCAATAGATGCTGAAAAAGCATTTGACAAAGCACAGCGTCCCTTCCTGATCAAAACTCTTCAAAATGTAGGGATAGAGGGCACATACCTCAATATTATCAAAGCCATCTATGAAAAACCCACTGCAAATATCATTCTCAATGGAGAAAAACTGAGAGTTTTTCCACTATGGTCAGGAGCACGGCAAGGATGTCCATTATCACCACTGCAATTCAACATAGTATTAGAAGTCCTAGCCTCAGCAATCAGACAACAAAAAGAAATTAAAGGCATCCAAATCGGCAAAGAAGAAGCCAAACTATCACTCTTCACAGATGATATGATACTATATGTGGAAAACCAAAAAGACTCCACTCCAAAACTTCTAGAACTTGTACAGGAATTCAGTAAAGTGTCAGGATATAAAATCAATGCACAGAAATCAGTTGCATTTCTTTACACCAAAAACAAGAGAGAAGAAAGAGAAATTAAGGAGTCAATCCCATTTACAATTGCACCCGAAACCATAAGATACCTAGGAATAAACCCAACCAAAGAGGCAAAGAATCTATACTCCAAAAACTATAAAGTACTCATGAAAGAAATTGAGGAAGACACAAAGAAATGTAGAAATGTTCCATGCTCCTGGATTGGAAGAACAAATATTGTGAAAATGTCTATGCTACCTAAAGCAATCTACACATTTAATGCAATCCTTATCAAAATCCCATCCATTTTTTTAAAAGAAATGGAACAAATAATCCTAAAATTTACATGGAATCAGAAAAGACCTCGAATAGCCAAAGGAATATTGAAAAAGAAAACCAAAATTGGTGGCATCACAATTCCAGACTTCAAGCTCTATTACAAAGCTGTCATCATCAAGACAGTATGGTACTAGCACAAAAACAGACATATAGATCAATGGAACAAAATAGAGAGCCCAGAAATAGACCCTCAACTCTATGGTCAACTAATCTTCGACAAAGCAGGAAAGAATGTCCAATGGAAAAAAGACAGCCTCCTCAACAAATGGTGTTGGGAAAATTGGACAGCCACATGCAGAAAAATGAAACTGGTCCATTTCCTTATGCCACACATGAAAATAGACTCAAAATGGATGAAGGACCTCAATGTGAGAAAGGAATCCATCAAAATCCTTGAGGAGAACACAGGCAGCAACCTCTTCGACCTCAGCCGCAGCAACTTCTGCCTAGGAACATCGCCAAAAGCAAGGGAAGCAAGGGCAAAAATGAACTATTGGGATTTCATCAAGATCAAAAGCTTTTGCACAGCAAAGGAAACAGTTAACAAAACCAAAAGACAACTGACAGAATAGGAGAAGATATTTGCAAATGACATATCAAATAAAGGGCTAGTATCCAAAATCTATAAAGAGCTTAGCAAACTCAAGACCCAAAGAACAAATAATCCAATCAGCAAAAGGGCAGAGGACATGAACAGACATTTCTGCAAAGAAGACATCCAGATGGCCAACAGACACATGAAAAAATGCTCCACATCACTCGGCATCAGGGAAATACAAATCAAAACCACAATGAGATACCACCTCACACCAGTCAGAAAGGCTAAAATTAACAAGTCAGGAAATGACAGATGCTGGCGAGGATGTGGAGAAAGGGGAACCCTCCTACGCTGTTGATGGGAATGCAAGCTGGTGCAACCACTCTGGAAAGCAGCATGGAGATTCCTCAAAAAGTTGAAAATAGGGGCACCTGGGTGGCTCAGTGGGTTAAGCCTCTGCCTTCGCCTCAGGTCATGGTCTCAGGGTCCTGGGATCGAGTCCTGCATAGGGCTCTCTGCTCAGCGGAGAGCCTGTTTCTCCCCTTCTCTCTCTGCCTGCTTCTGCCTACTTGTGATCTCTGTCTATCAAATGAATAAATAAAATCTTTTAAAAAAAAAGTTGAAAATAGAGCTACCCTATGACCCAGCAATTGCACTACTGGGTATTTACCTTAAACATACAAACATAGTGATCCTAAGGGGCAAGTGCACCTGAATGTTTATAGCAGCGATGTTCAAATAGCCAAACTATGGAAAGAACCTAGATGTCCATCAACAGATGACTGGATAAAGAAGATGTGGTATATATACAATGTAATACTATGCAGCCATCAAAAGAAATGAAATCTTGCCATTTGCGACAACGTGGATGGAACTAGAGGGTATTATGCTTAGCGAAATAAATCATTCGGAGAAAGACAACTATCATATGATCTCCCTGATATGAGGAAGTGGAGATGCAACGTGGGGGGTTTGGGGGGTAGGAAAAGAATAAATAAAACAAGATGGTGTCGGGAGGGAGACAAACCATAAGAGACTCTTAATCTCACAAAACAAACTGAGGTTTGCTGGGGGAAGGGGGGTTGGGAGAGGGTGGTGGGATTATGGACATTGGGGAGGGTATGTGCTATGGTGAGTGCTGTGAAGTGTGTAAACCTGGCGATTCACAGACCTGTACCCCTGGGGCCAATAATACATTGTGTGTTTATAAAAAATTTTAAAAATTAAAAAAAAAAGAAGTTGGGTGTTTGTTTGTTTCCTAGGAGACAAAGATGTTGTTAATCACTTTGATCCAATAGGGGATTGAGATTATTAAAATCCAAGACATCTTTGGAAATATCTGAATACAGTGTTTGTGTCTCTCAAACACTGTGAAACTATCCTAAGTTAGTTTCCATTTTCTGCTTTGTTGCTTACATTCTCACCCTGTGCAACTTATCAAATACCCCAAAGAAAAATAATTGCAGAATAATGGACTCACTTCCTTACAATTCCCTTTATTCCAAGGTCTTGACTTCTTAAGTCTTAGCTACCCTGTCCATATGGAACCCCAACTCTTGCCTACCCAACTGTGTGAGCATAATAAAAGTTCTAAGACTTCTCTTTCTATTTATCCTCTCATCTGTGCCACTTACCTATTAGAAAACAGCTTGAGAGGACCACCAGCAAAGAAGGTCATGTTTGCATCAATGCATTGCTCTTGTTTCCAGGATTTGATCCCACTAATCCTAATAGCCTCAGTTGTTCTCTGATGCCTCCAAAAGCTGGGAGGGAAGGGTTTAAATTTTAATACATTTTTTTTCATTGTTTAGGGGAAGGGAATTAATCTGATATAAACTACTCTGCCATAGCTAGAAACTTCCTCACAAAATTTTTGCATTATTCTCTATATATTCTTACCAAATGTATTTTCACCCTGTCATTTTAACTTATTATTTCAGTGAAAGAGATTTTACTATTATCATTTCTGTATAAAACTTGTTTTTTAATTTCTTTCCATTGATAAAAATATATACCATTTACACATTTTGTTTCTTTTCAGTCTGTAACTTTAATCTCATAATCCAAATTTTCTCTGTAAATTCTCTGTCTAAAATAGTATTCACTATAGTTCTCTTGATTAAATGGCTTATTTCTAAAGTTATAAGAAAGGAACTGTGATTTTTAAAAAACTGGCCTGCATACCTTTTGTTTATGCCAGAATAAATTATTCTTATATAAAATATAACAATAATATATTTTTATATATTATATAAATTTATATATATAAATTATATATTTATAAATTATATATAATATATAAATATATAAATATATAATATAGTATATATTTATATATTTATATATTATATTATTATATATTTATATATAATAATAATATATAAATATTTATATAAATATATAAACAATAATATAATATATAAATATATAATATTTATAATATTATATTTATAATGGATATATATAATATATAATAGTATATAATATATAGTATATTTATATTTATTATATATAATATATAAAAATAAATATATATAAATATATATAAATATATAAATTTACATAAATATATATAAATATATTATATATAATATAAATATATATAAATATAACATATAATATAAAACAAATATTTGTTTTATTCTCAGAAGAATTTCAAACCCCCTTGCCTAGCTATCCATCCTTGTGTTTCACAGTTTTTGTAATACATTCTACTTAAATGGAATCTGAAACTCAAACTTCTCTGGGATGCCATAAATATTCTACTTGTATAAAATTTGTATTCAGAAGTTGTTTCTTTATTACGTCATTCATATAAGTAATAAGAGATGACAAACAATTACATGGATGCTGAATTAATCCAAAGAATTCGAAGATCATGAGTTTTACTCATAATTTACTCTCTTTCATGCCTGTAACAAGTTCTTTAAAAAAAATAAATTTTTTTAAAAATACGTAGTATTGTTCTAGATAAAATTATTATAAGGTTTGAAATCCCATTTTGTAGGGAAGAAAAATCTTATAAATGAATACTAGGACTACCTGCAACACAGGAGTCTTAAAAAATAAGTTTACAGCTGTGTTAGTACCCAAAATTTACCTTAACAGCATGAACTTTCCCATATCAACTGCCCCCAGTTGTTTCTGAAAGCACCACTGAGCTTTGTCATATATGCTCCACAACAGATCCTGCCTGTGGTCTTTCTGGCCCAAACTCCTAGTCAAGGCACTCTTTCGCTTTCCCTTCTCCTGATCTGAGTTCTAAGATCTCCATTCTGTAGGAGCAGCTCCACTGTGGAAAACGGCCATTGCTAATACCTAACCAGCCTAGGGGACAGACTTTTCCCTTAACTAAGGGATGCAGCTAAGTTCAAACTGCAACAGATGATGAAAGGACACTGTAATTTCTTTGATGTGTAGCACCCTCAGAAAAGCATCGTACAAATGCTACAAATGCTACTAGAGGAAGCTACCCTCACAGTTTAGTCTCAACTTACTTTCAGGGTCCATATGGGTGCTCCCAGCAAGAGGGAACATAGTAAGGATCAGGTTATTCTAGCCCCAGGAATGCTCTGAATATAAGTGTACCTAAGAGTCCAGATCACTCAAGACAAGTTGAGAAGGAATGATTTTTTTTTTTTTTACCATTCTTTAAGTCTAAGGTCCTCAGATCTGTTCCTCTTGCTCAAAGATGACTGAAGAAGAAACATCTTCACAGGAAGGTCCTGTCCTTGACCATAGGAAGGGCCTTGCATAAAGACCCCATCAGAACAATGACACCAAACATAATAGTACAGTATTAGTCATCCTGGATTCAGTCTTTTTTTTTTTCTTTTTAAGATTTACTTATTTGAGGGGGGGTGGTGGAGAGGCAGAGGGAGAGAGAATCTTAAGCAGATGACCGGCTGAGCATGGAGCCAGAGGAGGGGCTCCAGGTGGGGGCTCCAGGCAGAGTCTCCCCACAGGGCTCCACCTCACAACCTGAGATGATGACCTGGGCCAAAACCAAGAGTTGGACCCTCAACTAACTATGCCACGCAGGGGCCCCGAATGTTTGCTACTTTTTAAAAAGTTTCTCCAGGTTCTACTGATCAAGATTTCAAAAAAACATTAGGGCCACATTGTCATCCAATGTCCTCAATGACACAAGACAGGGTGGTGGGCAGAAAGGTATAGGGCTGGCTAGCTCATCTAGAGGCTGGAAAACTTGTGTTCTTACCTTAGCTCTAGATTAACTATTATTTAAATAATTATTTCATTGGTTATTATATATTAGCATTTACTAAAAAATGCAGTAAGACCTGACGGTGTCTGGCAGTGAAGCAGAATGGCAGTTTATTTGCCAGTGCAATGATACTAAAATTTATTAAAAAAAAAATTTTTTTTTAATAATTAAAATACTTCTTCATTGGTAGCTGGCTACCAATTGGGAATATGGCTCTGAATGCTTCATAATTGGAAAGATGAACAGAATAGCAATATTTTAGCTGCCAGAAATTTTTATCTGATAGACTGAATGGTGGGAGTGGGAATTTGTTTTTGGGATAGATACCTTCTTTTGGGGGGAGGTGTCACTTTGATGAGCATTTCAAAGTCAAGAATCTAACCATTTCCCTTGGGATATCTCTGGGCATGGCTGAGGGAACCCAGCTACAAATGCTTACTGCTAAGACACAAAGTATTCTGTTTAATAATGCTAAAGACTGTCCCATATCCCATCTCTAATGAAGGGTTTTTTACCCCAAATTGATTGTCAGTTTCCCCAGTCTAAAAAGAAAAAAAGGTTGAGGGAGCTCATGGCCTGGGTAAGGAAGGCAAAAGGGAAGGCCCAAGTCAAGGATAAGAATGCTAAGGGTGTAGCTGCTCTCCCTTTGCCTGGACTCTCTGCGCTGGTCTTGGAATGGCTAATTCTTTCTGATCATTTGAATTTCAGCTCAAATATCACTTCACAAGGAGGACTTCTCAAATCACCCTGTGCACAGCAGCCTCTAAGATGGGTTCTTATTGTCAGGATCTCCAAGGAAGGAAAGGAAATAACTTTTAAATGCATCACTAAAGAAAACAAAATTACCAGTTTATTTTTCCCCTCCTTTGTATGTAGAAGTATCATTGTTTATCAGTCATTCTAAGAAATTTATAGCTCTAAGCTCTAAATTTTAAGCAAAATTTCAAGAAGAAATTCCCATATTGTTTGTTAGATAAGAATAAACATACTGAATTTTTTCTGCTATCTGATGCTGAGATAAAAGACACCATCTTTGTTCCCAAGAAACACAGTCCAGTGGGGTTCTAGGCAAAATAGATCACTGTAATGAAATTGGATGAAAGGCTGCAATCATGGCTATTCTCCTAGGTAGATCTTACAGTTCCTACTTGACGCTGATATTAATAAATTGTTTCGACCCTTTTAAGTTTTTCTCTGCTTAATTCTAAGTCTTCAGGGGATTGAAAGATGTATACATATTGAGAAAGATGATTCCCTTTCTAATCAATAAAGATTATTTACTGTTAGAGACAAATGAAGGATCTGGATCCTCTCAAGACCTGAGGATTAATGCAAAACTCTACTTATAGTAACCACGTTCATAATTTCACAACTCTGAGAGAAGTGATCACCCAGCTCACTTTCCTGGATTTACATTATAAACAATTTCTAATTCTTCCATCTACCTTTAGAAATCCACAGATCTTGTCCAGGATGATCCATTTGATGTGCTTGGGATTCTTAAGCTATGTAAATATCTCTTTGCCTCTGAAGACTTACAAATTGAAAATATCATAAAATATGTAGATGCTTTTTCCATTTAATTTTTTTCATAATCGAAATTTGTGTTCCATGATCAGTCCATAGATGCTATGAAGCTACTTGTGAATAATTCTTAATATAAACACTGAATGTTTAAAAATTCATGAGCTGTAATCCAAAGCAATTTTTCCAGCAGCTTTCTATCTTAAAATTTGTAGGCAAATTGTTCTTAAATAGAGGATCTCAAATACTGATATTTTAAAATATTGATGAGCTGTTAGATCTAATTTCCCCCAACTTGTATTTTAATGCATATACACAAAAATTTCTACTCTTTGACAGCACATGAAAAAAGTAATAAGGAAAACTAGAGTACCAGCAACAAAGATGTCACAGTTCGAATGAAAAAAACTAAGAACAGGGAGCAGGCATTGAGGGAAATGATTCTACTTTAAAAATGGATTTTAAAAAAGTAAGTCATTTGAAATACTTGTCATGCTGAATACATGATTATGACTTCAAATTGTTCTTTAGTTACATTGCATATTGTAGGCTATTCAAAGTGCCCTTCTGCAGCCTATGGAGTGTTAAGTTGACACAAAAGACAATCATTCACTTTTTAAAGAAGATTTGCAGTGAAAGGGGGGAAAAAAGGCACCTACTTAAATATGTAAAAAAGGGGGGGCAAGTAGAATAAGGGGTGGAATTTTTTTCTCCTTTAAAATGTCTTCCTCAGGCACCTGGGTGGCTCAGTGGGTTAAAGCCTCTGCCTTCAGCTCAGGTCATGATCCCAGGGTCCTGGGATGGAGCCCCACATCGGGCTCTCTGCTAAGCAGGGAGCCTGCTTTCCCCTCTCACTCTCTGCCTGCTTCTCTGCCTTCTTGTGATCTCTGTCAAATAAATAAGTAAAATCTTTAAAAAATAAAATAAAATAAAATGTCTTTCTTGGGGCGCCTGGGTGGCTCAGTGGGTTAAAGCCTCTGCCTTCAGCTCAGGTCATGATCCCAGGGTCTTGGGATCAAGGGTCCTCCCTCTCTGCTCAGCAAGGAGCCTGCTCCCCCACCCCCACTGCCTGCTTTCTGCCTATTTGTGATCTCTGTCTGTAAATAAATAAATAAAATCTTTAAATAAATAAATAAATAAAATGTCTTCCTTAAGGACCCCCGGGTGGCTCAGTTGGTTAAGCATCTGCCTTTGGCTCAGGTCATGATCCCAGAATCCTGAGATCCAGTCCCATGCGTGGCTCCCTGCTCAGTGGGGAGTCTGCTCTTCCCTCTCTGTCTGCCCCTCCCCCAATTTCATTTTTTTTTCTCTCTCTCCCTAGTAAATACACAAAATCTACTTTAAAAATGTCTTTCTAGAGATAAAGAAGATGTGGTATATATATATATATACAATGGAATACTATGCAGCCATCAGAAGAAATGAAATCTTGCCATTTGTGCCAATGTGGATGGAACTAGAGGGTATTATGCTGAACAAAATAAGTCAATCGGAGAAAGACAACTATCATATGATCTCCCTGATATGAGGAAATGGAGATGCAATATGGGGGGGTTGGGGGGTAGGAAAAGAATAAATGAAACAAGATGGGATCGGGAGGGAGACAAACCATAAGAGACTTTTAATGTCAGAAAACAAACTGAGGTGACGGGGGCAGGGGAGAGGGGGTTGGGGTTATGGACACTGGTGAGGGTATGTGCTATGGTGAGTGCTGTGAAGTGTGTAAACCTGGCGATTCACAGACCTGTACTCCTGGGGCTAAAAATACAGTATATGTTTATAAAAAATTTTTTAAAATTAATTTAAAAAATGTCTTTCTAAGGCTACCAATAATTTGCATTTATAAAGAATTGGTACAAATACCTCTGGATTAGCAAGAAGAGACATCCAAGGACCATAGGTGAGAGCTGGTATATGACACTAACTGGACTTCACTTTTAGCTTCTCTGGTTCCTGCAGGCAGTCTTCTATTGTTTCTTAGTGAGCCATCACAACCTTTTCGCTTTTGCTTGCATTTATTTTTGTCTGAAGATTTGTCCCATCCTGTTGTCTTTTGGGGTTTTGTTTCAATGTGCACGAGCAGGCTCAGCCGACAGCCTTGCTGTTGCTCCTTCAAATCTTCTCGTCCTGCTCCATCTGTGGAAATGAACTTCTTTTGCTCCCCGTGGTGGCATTTGCCTTTTCCATTTTCCTTTAAAGACATTTGCACAAGACACATTCTTTCCCATTTGCATCGTTTAAAAAGTGATGCAAATGAATTTTGGAATTTGGCTATTGACTGACTTATAGTCACAAGTTATGGAGTCTTTCTACTGACATTCTTACCTTATGTCAGAAGATGCCATCGAACTGATACATTGAGGATCAGCTAATTTCTGTAATCTTTACAGGTACAATAAGCAAGTCAATAATACTGAGTAAAAAACAAGGCTTAGCAGTAATAAATTCTAGTCCCTTCATCTTCTTTCAAATACTTCATGTGATTTTTTTTTCTTTTTGTTCATCATTAGGGAATCATGGTTTTTTAATAGATTAAATGTATATAAGTTGACTAGATGATTTGTTGCAACTTTGGCTTTTTTAATGTCACAACTTTGACTAGTGGTGGCTTCATTTAAGCAGGTTCCTGTCTCTCTGATATGACTTCATTTATTTTGAAAGATTTCTTGCTTTCTGGCAGAAGAGGATCCAAACTGTCCAAGCTATATGTCTAGACCATGCATAGACAGATGTTTCTCCAAAGATCTTTAGTTTCTTTTAATGAAAAAGTAGAGACACCAAGAACTGAGTAATAGGGTGCAACATGGGGTAACGTTGTTCCTAGGTTATTTCAATATCAAAGCTACAGAAGTTTTATCTTTTTTTTTTTAATCTTTTTTTGAAGATTTATTTATTTATTTTGGAGAGAGAGAGAGAGAGAGAGAGAGAGAGAGAGAAAGAGTGTGGAACCTGATGTGGGGCTCGATCCCAGGACCCTGAGATCATGACCTGAGCTGAAATCAAGAATCAGACATGTAACCAACTGAGTCACCCGGGTGCCTCAAAAGTTTTCTTTTAAAGTTTATACTGGTATTTCTACTCCTGTTCTAAAATTATAATGTTCCTCTGTAATTTGATGAATTCTATAATTGTAGCACATTTTCTCTTACATAAGTAAGAATAACTTCTTTTCTTTATTTGACTAAGACTTCCAAAAGACACATCCCAATATCAATATGAACAAGAAAGTCTTGAATGAAGCTCACCGTTCTATATGTAGTCACTTTTATTTTGAAAGCACGATCCCAGAGAAGATGTGCATTCGAGCTACTTGGCTCTAAGTTGATTCTGAAGGCTTCATTCTTCATAGCTGTGAGATGCTTGTTTGACAAATGGCTTAAGTTTCACTTGTCTCAACTGGTTTTGAGTCTGAGGTCTTGGCATCCTCACAGCTGCCAATTCTGTGTTGGAGGAAGAGGCGGCTTTGGGTCACTACTTCTTTCTTGGTGCCAATATCCTGCTTTGGAAGAGAGCCCAAGAACTAGCCCAGTCCACTCTGAGAGGATGGGAAGAGTTTTGACCTCTGATCCACTATGACTTTATGAGCAATTAGAAGTATAAATTCATTATCTAAGTGCATGCTGGACAAATTGATCCTTCTTACTCCTCTTTAATTTCTAGTAATTTCTATTTCACACATTTAATTAAATTTTAGCTCTCCTAAATTTTGCCTTCCCCCGATACCCTTTAAATTAATCTTACCCTTTTTCCTGAGCCACAAGCACATCCTTATATATACCATGCATTATTTCCTCATTTCCTTAGCAAATTAACATATCATGGAGTATTTTATTTGCATTTTTTGAGCCCAACTGATCCTCCCAGTTCCATTTCCATCCAGGGCCAGGTCAGTTGAAAGTGTTTAATTTTCTGTATGTAGGGAGATCAAGAAAAGACTTTGTGTGCAAATAACATGATGTGTAAACTTGGACTTTTGAGGTTTAGACACAAAGTCTCTCCTTTAACCTATGATCAAAAATTCATGTATTTTGAATATATCATCTGATAAATTTTCATTTTTCAAAAACACATGTCTTTAATTACAGGTGACACTGGTATAGGACTCGAGTTTCTCAGGGGCCTTTGAGTAAATAAAAGTACCATTACTTAATATGTTATGAACACAAGCTTCCCAAAATGACTTTGAGATATCAGAAGATAAGCAGAATGTAACAAAAATAAGGAAGTTCAATAGAAATACTATGTATATTTACCTAACATAATTGTATACTTTCACTTGTTTTTATGCAGAAGTCTAATCTTGTGTCATTTCACCTTACAGAAAAAAACACAAAATTACATTAAATTTTCCAGTCTCATTATACACTGTAGGTATGATTACACTTCAAAATTAAACAGATTTTTGATACAGAATTACCCAATTTGGGAATAAGTAGTATAGAAAATCCACCAGATTATTTTTTTGTTGTTGCTGTTATTCAACCCTTATCATTCTAAAGTTAGGGTTTTTGCTATGAGGACAGATTTTAAACTGCCACTTTTTCCTCCTCTCAAAATTTGACTCGGGCCCAAGCTTCCTATGTCTTCCTCGGCCTTAAGTTTTCTTATTGGCACAAAGTCAAATGTCTCTTTTTGAGCTTAAGTCTATGATATATAAAAAAAATTTCATTTGAAGCAGCTTAATTCATATAACATTTAACTTCATCTACATACATTTATGTTGCCATCCTATTTTTTAGCTAAATACATATAATTCCATTCAAACAAAATATTCAAATACAAATTCTTCATACATTCTTTGACCAATAAATCTTCATTATTTCAATTAAGTGTATGTTTTATTTTAATTGTTGGCTTGTTGGGGCACCTGGGTGACTCAGTTGGTTAAGCGGTTAAGCGGTTAAGTGCCTGTCTTCGGCTCAGGTCATGATCTCAGGGTCCTGGGATTGAGCCCTTTGTCCTAGGGCTCCCAGCTCAGCAAGGAGTCTGCTTCTCCCGCTCCCTCTGCCCTTCCCCCTGACTCATGCTCTCTCTCTCTTTTTCTCTCTCTCTCCAATAAATGAATAAAATCCTTTAAAAAATTTTTTTGGCTTGTTGTTGCCTCCCCCCCCCCCGCACCCTTCAAAAGTTTTTCATTCTTCAGATTCTAAGATCTCTGGATTTTAAATTTTGAATTTTGAAAAGTTATATCACTAGCTTGTTTTGTTTTGTGTTCAGGCAGTGTTTGGCCTATGTTCAAGCACCGATTTCCGTGAACAGGTTTCTTCTGGTGAGGGCTCTCTGTCCCATTCAGTGTGGGACACTGCAGGACAGTACTTCTTTTGGTGAGGACCCAAACCCATTAGTGTTACGCTGTCATCTTCTAATCTACAGGGAAGTAGTGATCATGCCACAGGAGCTTCTTCTTATTGCTAGACAAATGATAGAAGGCTTCCCGGCATCCCTAGAAGAGGGGGATATATGGCGGCTTGTGGGATGTCACAGGAAAGTAGATACAGCGCAAAGAACAACAGCAGAGATTGCAGACGTTGACCTGGGCACTGACATCCCCAACAGCCAGGTATCACTACTGTTTTTATAATAGTTGACATTTTCCTCTTTAAAGTGCTAAAAGATATTACCTTTTGCTCTCAGGGATGCTATACAGATCTCCAAGATGATTCCCTTGATTTACCCTTCGTGTTTTTATTTTTTTTTTGTTACTTTATTCATTTTTATCTTTATTTTTTTAGTAGGCTCCACACCCATTGTCTGCTTGAATTCACAACCCTGAGATCAAGACCCGAGATCAAGAGTCAGACACTCAACTGCCTGAGCCAATCAGGCACACCCCATCATGTTTTTAATCCTTTAGCAAAACTCTCTTAGATACCTATGAGAAAGGCAAGTAGGAATTTGTCCTTTCCAGATACCATGATTCCATCTGGCCACAGTCCAGGTTGAACCTAGGACCGCCACGACATACAAAGCTGGGGAGACCCTTTAGTTTCATTGATGACCCCGGGGGTTAAACAACAAGCCAGCTCTGACAGGATCCAACTACAGTTTGGCACCATTACTGATTAATTAAATTCTGAATGGATACTGAATGGGTTCCACTAAATGGTTTAAAGATGAATAGAAGAGGTGAGGTGCTTCCTCCCCAGTCCTTGAAACTGAACTAAGGAGCACAAACGGTAAATGAATCTAGACTCTAGACTAGGAAAACGAGTCACATAAAAGATTATTAAGAGCTGAAAAGGCTCTTAAAGATTAGAGAGGCAGATAGACAAACTCAGTTAATGGTCTGTCTCCAAAACAAAAGCCTAGGCATCCCATACCACAAAAGGGATGGAGGGAGGAAACATAATAAGGAGGATAGTAAAGTGTCAGTGGTCTAAGCATTTGCTCACTCAGTCCTATCCCGCTGATCACCTCTGCCATTCTCAGGGTCTATGTTGTTCTAGATCCTATCAAAACCACATCAAATTATTGTGGAGGAAAAGGTTACATACTTAGAATTTAAAAATAGGTCCAGACTCTCTAATAAGAACTACATTGCAAGAAGGAAGGAGAAGAGAACCCACCAGCTTGTAACTAGGTGACCACCACACCCCTATTTTTTAACACATCAAAATGACAGGCTTTTCTTAAACACAAGTTCAACCTTAATCCCTTTCTGAGAATTGCTCTGTGATCAGCAGGGGAAAGGGGCCTTATGACACTCAGGTAGGAGAAAGAAGAACTCATGACCCTCACAGAGAAGAATCAAAAGAACCTTTGATACTAAACCGAGAGAAGAAAAATAAACCTTGCAGTCATTAATTACTGAACCTCAAAAAAGAGTTTTTGAAAGACAAGCCTTTGTCAAACCTTTGAAAGGAGGCACAATTGCTTGGGGGTAAAACACCACAGATCTATCATTTTGGAAGACTTTATTCCTTTCTTTAACACTTGACAAGTAGTGTTGTCTTATTAGGAAGGGCTGTTTTTTGTTTTTGTTTTTTTTCACCAAAATGTCATCTACTTAGCAGCAGGTCAGGTGGCTCTGGACAAAACCCTGAATCCAAGGGAGATGGCAAAATGGTCTGTGAGGTCCCTTCCCTCGCCAAGATTCTACAGATGCCACAGAAGGCATCAAATCCCAGAACAAGAAGGAATGAGAAGAGGGGAAGTGTTGGGAGTGGGGATATACCTGACAGGGAGTCACAGCCCAAAACCACTGGCGGCTTGGCAACCTCAAAGATGGGATCATCAGCAATTGGTATTTTCAAACTGCATCATTGCCTTTTTGTTGCCATTAATTTAGTGACTACAGTTCTTTCGAATGGGATGTATAGCCAAAGTTTTCTGTAGGGAACATGAGCCAGAGGAAGTGGGACACCAAAAGTTACGACGCCCCTGGAGTTCAGGAGCATCTGTCCCCATAGTTATGTTATGAATATTCAAATGTCAGCAGGATTTTCCTATTTGTCTGCAGCAATAAACAGACACTTACCTGAGGAACATCCTGGAACTCTGCTGGGCAAATCGCTGATGACACATGTTTTAGACAGGACTAAGGAGAAAAATGTCTCCAGGCTTCAACCATGTGTCCTTCAAGCGGGCACTCAGAGGCTGGAATGGTAAAGCCCATTTCAGGACAATGTCAGTGCTGCAGCCCATAGCAGCTACTAAAATTCAGTTTTACCCTCAGTGGACACATTCTAAATGAACAAGACAACACAAAGTCCCATGCTCCCAGATCTCTACTATATTCAGCAATTTGGTAAAGAGGGGCCTTTTCAAAGATGAGAGAGCCAAAATTATACATGTGACAGACTTCATTCTGACCTTCCTTGAACAAAATATTGACACAAG